TTGTTATATCAATAATACACTGGCCTGACTCATTTGATATAACTTAAATGGAGAACGAGCAGTAGAGGCAGCTGATCAGATTGTATCAATCTTGTGAACAAAAGACGCTCCAAGAGCTAAAACAGAAATTGCTGGAAAAGTCCTAAACGTTAACTCTGATTTCCCTCCACAGATGCTGCCAGGCCTGCTGAGTTTTTCCAGGAATTTCCGTCTTTGTTTCTGATTTACAGCATCCGGAGTTCTTTTGGTTTTTATTAAACTCCACGAGCTAGGGCTTGTTATTAGAGGCAAGAACGGAGAAGACAGGAGAAAGAGAATCTGTCAGGAGGAAGTAAATTTAGAAGCATTAAAATAGACTCATCATATGGTTTAAAAAATGATTTATTTGACTTTTATCCTAATATTAATCCCGTAACTAAGCTTGAGATTTTTCTTAACATTAGCCGAAACAGACTCCAGAAAACCACAGTTCAGTCCTATTTGTGACTAATGGCAAAATCTCATTCTACGATCTTATTGTGAACTCACTGGTGTCTTGACAGTATACGAAATGGCAATTTCTCTACCCTGTGTGAATTCGTTGATGTACAGCAACTTGAGCTGATCACCTAATCCCACTGGGGCAGTGAAAACAGTCTCAAGTGAGAACAACTTGATGTGACATTAGTTCCCAGGAACCCTTGTGACATTTTCTGCACTGGGACCTTGAAAAGATTTATTTGTTCGCGTGGGTCTGCTGGTGTTTTTGCAGGTTGACCGACCGAGTGAACGCCTTCCCACACTCGGAGCAGGAGTACGGCCTCTCCCCGGTGTGAGCTCGTCGGTGGTTCTTCAGGTTGGACAAACGGGCAAATCCCATCCCACAGTCGGAGCAGGCAAATGGCCTCTCCCCCGTGTGAACCCGCCGGTGTTCCTGTAGGTTGGACGACCGAGTGAACCTCTTCCCGCAGTCGGAGCAGGTGAACGGCCTCTCCCCGGTGTGAAGCCGCTGGTGAATTACCAGGGTGGACGACCCAGCGAAAGCCTTCCCGCACGTCGAGCAGGAGAACGGCTTCTCCCCGGTGTGGCAGCGCCGGTGAGCCTCCAGGTCCGATGGGTAACCGAACGCTTTCCCGCAGTCGTCGCACTTCCATGGCTTCCCCAGGGTGTGACTGTGCTCGTGTTTCCACAGTCCAGACCATCGGCTGTAGGCCTGCCCGCATACAGAGCACAGGTACCGTTTCTCCTCACTGTGAACAGTGTTGTTCAACGCCATATTCGAGTCGGATAATGTCCAGGAGCCAATTAACCGGGTGACTTAGTCAAATCCTGACGTTCCAGTTTCCTGACTCCAGATCCCCCTCTTCTAATAAGCTGTGAAACTAATTTGAAACAGAAAAATAAAGGGGGTGAAACGGAAGCCACAGGAACGCAAGCAAAGTTTCCGAGATTGAGCTGAATGAATGAGCAGCACTAAGAAAATGTCGTCATAATGAAAAAAGAGAGGAGCAGGTTGTACAGGACGTTGGTGAAGCCTCTTTGGGAATAGTGTGGCGAGTTCTGGTTGCCCTGTCATAGGAAGGACATTATTAAATTGGAGAGGGTTCAGAAAAGATTTGCCAGGATGTTGCTGGGAATGGAAGGTTTGAGTTATAAAGATAGGCTGGGACTTTTTTCGTTGAAGTGTGGGTGACCTTATAGAGGTTTATAAAATTCTGAGGGGCATAGATGTGGTAAATAACAAAGGTCTTTTCCCTAGGATGGGGAGGGAGTTCAAAACTACTTGGCATATTTTTCAGCTGACAGGACCGGAAGGGAAACTTTTTCACACAGGGAGCAGTTTGTGTGTGGAATGAACTGCCAGAAGAAGTGCTGGATGCGGGTACATTTGGATAAGTACATGAAAAGGAAAGGTTTAGAGGGATATGGACCTAAGATGGACTAGTTTTGATTGGGAAACTTGGTTGGCGTGGATGAGTTGGACCAGAGTGTTTCCGTGGTATATTACTCTGGGTGTGTGTGAATAACATCACTACTGAGTTCCCTTCCACATCACACACTATCCAACCTGTCTGATGATCAGTTCTTGAACAGAAATGTCCTCTGTTTAAATACTGGAAGGACTGAAACCACAGTTTGTCATCTCTGCTAAAAACCCAACTCTGAAAGCACTAACTCCCGACTCCCCGGTAACTCTCGAGGGATGGGCCACACTGTTCACGATCTTCGTGTCAAACTTCAACCCAAGTGAAGGTACCACTACACATCATGGAGACTCCTAACTCCATTCTTGGCCTCAGTGGGTCCAACTGACACTGTAGAGACACCTGTCTCAAACCTCCACACTGGTCCTCAACACACACACACACACCCATACTCCTGACCAACTCCCTACACATCGAAACTCTGAAGACTTTTCCCTTCGGACACACTTGCTTCCCAAACCCACAGCCCCAGTACAAAAGCAGGCACTGACGACCACCACCATCTTTCTTGATTATCATATTCCTTTTGCTCCTCCACCACCCGCTCCCCCATATTGTGCCTGCCTTGCACCTGCTCCCCCACCTTCTCCTCTCCTCCCTTCCCCATCCCTGTTTCCATTCCTCCCCTCACCCCTGTCTCCAATATTCTCCTCCCTCCCACACCCGTATTTCCATTCCCCAACAAGTACGGATCCAACCACTTCTAAGAAAATCTCTCTGTACCCATGATCAACCTCATGAACCTTCTCTGAATGTACCACTGCCAGTACTTTGTCAGAAAATGGAGCGGATTTGATGGCCCAGCTAGTTGACTGCTTCTCCTAAATCTTACGGCCTTATGTATTTCTTAGAATACTGTCAATGGTCCCATTTGAAATAACTCCACAGAGGCCGGTATCCTGTCACCAAATCACCCTTATTTTATAACGTGGAGAGTTTTTGACACTAATCCAGCACCCTCAGAGCTAGCTCTCGGACTGAACAGAACTGTGACGTTCCTGTTTATATCTGTCAGTCAGGACTCCCTGACTGGACCAGATTAACAGTCCCAGGCAGGGAACTCATATTCTATGAGGTCTACCTGGCTGACCTCTTTATAATCACTACATGCTTATCTAACTCTGGTCTAACTCGTGCCTTGTATAATGTTAGCAATATTTATATTCCCTCCAGAATAAAGGCCAGTCCATTTGTCTTCCCTTTCCTGCTGAACTTGGAAGCTAACCTTTTCTGATGTAACACTGTAAAACATGGAAGTGGGCCATTCAGTCTGCTCCACCATTCAGTAAGAACGTGGCTGATCTGATAATCCTCACCCCCACTTTCTCCATAATGTTCTGTCTGTCCACCTCGGCCTTGAATATTCTTTATGACCCCAGAATCTACCCTGTCAAGGCCCTACAAATCTTGTATGTTTCAGTAAGGTCGCCTCTCATTTCTCTATATTTCACACAAGTACAGGCCCAAAACCTACTCAACCTCTTAAGACTATTCCTCAGCCTAGCGGACCTTCTCTGGACTATCTCCAATGCCAGTATGTCTTTCCTTCGACAAGGAGACCAAAACCGTTCGCAGTATTTCAGCTGTGCCTTGTGCAATTTTAGCAAACACGACTTTGATACTCCATCCCTTTGAAATTAGAAATTCTATTTGCCTTCCCTACTCCTCAACTAGGATGCTAGCTTTTTGTTGTCATGGATAAGGACTCCCAAATCCCTCAATTCTGTAGCTTCCTGCAGTCTTCTTCCATTTGATAACAGTCAGCTCCTCTACTCTTCCCTACATTTCCCCACATTATCTACAAAGCGTTTGCCCACTCACTTAACCTGTCTGCAGATTCTTTGTGTCATTCTCACCTTTGCCTTCCCCACTATTTTTGTATCATCTGCAAACTTGGTCAATAGTACACATTCCCTTTCCTCATCCAAAGCATTAACATATAAATACTGTGAATAACTGTGACCCCCAGAGGCACACCACCAGTTACAGGTTGCCCAGGTGAATATGTCCCTCATTCTAGTGCCTTCAATTCGTTCACTAGTCCTCTACCTGTGCTAATATTAAATCTCTTAACACCATGGGCTTTTACTACATAGCCTCATACATGGTGCTTTATCAAACACCATCCGAAAGTCCAAAAACATTACACCCACTGCTTCCCCTTTGTCTATCCTACTTGTTACTTCCTCAAAGAATTCTAGTAAGTTTGACAGGTGTGATTTCCCTTTCCCGAAGCCATGCTGACTCTGCTTTATCGTATTATGCATTTCTAAATGGTCTGCTCTTGCATCCTTGTTAACAGCATCCATAATTTTCACAAACCCAGATGTTAATCTAACTGGCCAAAAGTTAGCATCATTGTCTCCCTCCCCTCTTGTAATACCCCAAATGTTGCATTTTGATAGGGCAAGTCAGGGCAGGACAGATACAGTTTATACTAGTGTCCTGGAGAATGTTGCTGAACAAAGAGACCTGGGAGTGTAGGTTCCTTGAAAGTGGAGTCGCAGGTAGACAGGGTGGTAGGTGAAGTAGGCGATTGGCACGCTTGCCTTTATTGGTCAGTGCATTGAGTAATGGAGTTAGGACGTCATGTTGTGGCAGTACAGGACATTAGTGGGTCCACGTTTGGAATACTGCATGCAATTCTGGTCTCCCTGCTATAGAGGATGTTGTTAAACTTGAGAGAGTGCAGAAAAGATTTACATGAATGTTGCTGGGGTTGGAGGATTTGCAATATAAGGAAAGGCTGGTTAGGTTGGGGCTATTTTTCCTGGAGCATAAGAGGCTGAGGGGTGATCTTATAGAGGTTTACAAAATCATGAGGGGCATCGATAGGGTGAAAAGCCAAGGTCTTTTTCCCAGGGTAGGGGAAGTCCAAAACTAGAAGGCACGGATCTAAGGTGAGATTTAAAAGGGACCTAAGGGGTAACTTCTTCATGCAGAGGGTGGTGCATGTATGGAATGAGCTGCCAGAGGAAGTGGTGGAGACTGGTACAATTCCAACATTTAAAAGGCATCTGGATGGGTACGTGAATAGGAAGGGTTTGAAGAGATATGGGCCAAATGGAACTAGATTAATTGAGGACATCATGGTTGACGTGGACAAGTTGGACCCAAGGGTCTGTTTCCGTGCTGTACAGCTCTATGAATCTTGGACCATTCTAGAATTTAAAGATTCTTGGAAGATTACTACCAATGAATCCACTATTTCTGTAGCTATTTCTTCTCATATCCTAGGATGCAAGCCATCACATCCAAGGCAGTCATCAACAATGTCTGCATGATAATCATTGTATTTATTTCTTCCTCTTCCCCCCCCTCCCCCGCCAACTTGTGTTCCTCGATTATTCAGTAATTTTGCAATGCTATTTGTGTTTTCTTCTGTGAAGACAGATTCAATGTATTTAATTCCTGTGCCATTTTCTGGTTCCCCATTATTATCTCCCCAGCCTCATTCTCTATGGGACCTATGTTCAATTTGGCCTTCATAGAATCTCTTGCTATCTGTTTTGATTGACTGTCTGTGAAGTTCACCATACACCATGAGCTTTACCAAATACCCTTCAATCACAACACATCCTACGTCCTCAAAGAACGCCAACAGATTATTTCAACATGATTTCTCTTTTACTGAATCATGTTGACTCTGTCCTATTTGAACTTACACAAATGGTCTCCTTTAAATTGTTTGACTTGTTTCCCTTTTGATTATCGTTCATATAAAAGATTTGGATGAGAATATAGGAGGCACATTTAGTAAATTCGTGGATGACACCAAGATTGGTGGTATAGCAGACAGTGAAAAAGGTTACCGAAGATTACAAAGGGATCTTGATCGATTGGGACAATGGGCTGAGGAGTGGCAGATGGAGTTTAATTTGGATAAATGCGAGGTGTAGCAATTTGGTAAAACAAACAAAAGCAAGAGTTACACTATTAAAAGTAGGACCTTGGATAGTGTTGTAGAACAGAGAGACCTAGGGGTACAGGTACATAATTCTTTGAAATTCACGTCAGATGTAGACAGGCTGGTTAAGAAGGCATTTACCACGCTTGTCTTCATTGCTCAGAGTATAGGAGTTGGAATGTCTTGTTCAGTATGCACAGGACGTTGGTGAGGCCTCTTCTGGAGTACTCTGTCCAGCTCTGGTTGCCCTGTCATAGGAAGGACATTATTAAATCGGAGAGGGTTCAGAAAAGATTTGCCAGGATGTTGCCGGGAATGGAAGGTTTGAGTTATAAAGAAAGGCGGGGACTTTTTTCATTGAAGCTTAGGCGGTTAAGGGATGACCTTATAGAGGCTTATAAAATCATGAGGGGCATAAATAAGGT